GTGTCAATTTTAAAACTTGCAATCGGCAATTTCTCTCATCTGAAAAAGTTATTAATAATCACTCAAAACCGTTTTGGTGGTTCCTAGGGGGAATTAAAATGACATGATAAGTGACACACCTCCACCCAACCTTGAATATAGTAAAAAAATTAAATTTTAACGTCTTCGTTTTTTAATAATTGGAAAAATAACTTTACCAAATAGGCTGTTGTATGACATTTTTGAAAAGTGCTTGTTATGGGCTTTCCAACGATGCAGTGCAAGTAGGGTCGTGCCATTTAAAATTTTCAACTTAAGGTGGCTGTGGCTTGAAGGGTGGGTGGAGGAGCGTCACTTACCATGCCATTTTGATTCCCCCTAAAAACTACCGAAACGGTTTTGAGTGATTCTCAATAACTTTTTTAGTTCTAGAGATATTGGCGATTGCAAGTTTTAAAATTGACACCCTGTATGTTTAGCCGTAATAAGGTCACATAGGTGATTACCTATACGTTTTTGAAAAGCTTATTTTTTCTGATCTTATATTTATATTTGTAACAAAATATTTTTTTATAATTATACTTAAAAAATGAAATATATATTTTGTTTGATAGTAGTTAGTCATGGAAAAAATATTTTACTTAAAATGTGTAATTATTTATTTAACAATTTTCTGTATTCTGTTTTCATTTTTTTATTATTGTTTTCAGTATAATCTTTACTATATTTTTATTTCGTTTATCTTAAATTGCAGACACACTACTTAGGCATCATTGACACCAACTAGTCACCATGGGTTGACTTGGTTTTTTTATAAATTAAACATAATGTAATGTTCAGCAATATAAAAAGCTCACTGTAGAATCTTTTGGCTGCTAGACCTTTAAAACTAGTTTTCAAAGTCGTAGAAATTGAATTTAAAACAACACACATCAACAGGTCTTTCTATATTCTCATTTCAAATGAATTTATGGAAACAAACAATGCGCAGTGCATTAACGTTAGTTTGTTATTGCAATATTATGAAAGTGTAAAAAAAGTAACTGTAGCGTATAGACTTTTGAAAGCGGGCGTATTTTGGCTTTTATACCTCTTGGACCCTTATTTTGCAAAATTTTTAACTACTATACGGTCTTGAGGTTGAAATTTAAATGAGATGATATTCACGGTAAAAGAAAACTAATACGCTATATAAAACAAAAATTCACGTTGTTAAAGGAAATTATTCATTTTACACTATTTGTTTGAGAACTGCTGCTTCGGCTGCAACAATGGCCATTAGTATCATTACCTTGTGTTTCACTGTAAATCATAATCACGACAACCAATTTATAATTTTATTATTTTGCCATACATGTTTATAAATTTTGAGAAAAATTAAGAAAAACGAATCAAGCCTATTGGAAACCGTTCGCTGAAAGATATTAAACAGAAGATCTTTGAATTTTGATAAAAACTAAAGCAAAAGCAAATCAAATGATGACAGTGTCAAAACTATGAAGTGACTTTTCTCTTTCATTGTCATGGATACGATTTTTTAATCTCTTGCAACAATACAATTTTATCTGAACAAGGAAATAATTCCAGTGACCCTCAAACCGTGTACCAATATTTTGGAGTTAAATAACATTCTTGATAATAACAATTGTGTGAGTTTTTTTTCTCGGTTACAGTATTTCTGTACTCTTCTATTACATTTTTTCACATTTACAACATTTTTTTAAAATATTTTTTTTTTACAATCATCCTATAAAGGATGAATGGATAAATGGAACGTCTACAGAATAGAAGACGATTCTTTTATTTCTTGTGTATGTCTCGAAACTTTTCTAATGCCATTCTGTCACTTTTAATAACGTTTTCTTTGTATAAAATAGTGAAGCTTTTTGGCTCTAAATTTGTTAGTAGGGTATAATTAGTTATTTATTATACAAGACGATAAAGAAATTGTTTATCTACGAGTGAAAAGGTTAAGTTTACGAGTGACGAAGTCACGAATGGACTTTTTTCACGAGTAGACAAACAATCTTTATCGTCGTGTATAAAATTTCGTTTTATTTTGTACTCACCTACCAGAATTTCTTGAATATAAACAGTAGATAAAAGTTACTTTATTTCACTAGACGATAAAAGACAACTTTATCTACTGAAATTACTTGATAAAAATTACTTTATTTCACTAGACGATAAAAGACTACTTTATCTACTAAAATTAGTCGATAAAAGCACTCTTTAACATTGTACAAAATAAACAGATTTTTTTTTACACAGATATTAAATGTTTATGGTCTATTTTATCTCAAAAAAACACAGTTGCGACGAGCGACGTTGCCAGTGAGGCGTTAATTCCTTATTTATGTCAGCAAAGTAGTTTCTACATAACACAGAAAAAACAATGCAAAATATTCGCTACTACTATAATTTATTAATACTTTATTTTATTACAGATGTTTCAATAGCAACACTTCTTAGGTAATATTTTATTTATTATGAAGCCAGAACGGTTTCCAAAATATTGAAAAAAATCACAAAGGCGCCCCAGTGATAGGCAATAAACATTCCTATAGTACAATTTAAAGTTTCAGCTTATAACTGTAATATCATGTTTTCTTCAATTCGCCGCCTCGTTTGCACAGTGACACTGCCAAAAAACTTTTCGCTGTTTTTGTGAGGTTATAACAATTTGTTATTTTACTGTCGGAGATAGTTGGGGTCGCATCGCCGCCACCGATCCTGACGGAAGGGAAGGGGCGGCGCCAATGCAGCTTGGCCTGGGAAAACGGCGCCGAAATGTATCTTTCAAATATGGAAACTAAAAAACTGCAATGTCTTTAGACGACTCATAACTCGCAGATAGATGAGATGAAAGTGCTTCTTCGAAATCGAGATCGTAATGAATCACGTAGATACATAAATACATTTTGCGAATTTAAATGCGTCTTTTGCCAGAATTTATGTATGATGTGGAGGGTGAGCTTAGGGTTTTCAGACTTCTGGTGGCGATCTGTCAAAATGCTTTTACGCTAGAATAACCAGTCAGAGATATTTATCAGACTGAAGGGTCACAATACGTTTTTTATTCAAATGTTACACCAGTCACAATTTGCTCTTCTATTGATTTATTAAAACAGTTAAAAACTAGTTTAAATACAAACCACCATTTTGTGTAACACTTATATTATAATTTGTAATCGAGTCTTCTTTGCATTCGAGAACGTATGTCTGTTATTGAACTAACTGCACATGAAACGTCAAATAAAATAAAATAAATAAAACGTAAAAACGTCAAAATGGCTCACGTACAATAATACGAGTAGGACCGTTCTTTTTTGAAGGTAAATTATAAATTTAGGTATTATAATCATCACTCTTTTGTTCATGCCACTTTACCTTTCGACTTGTCATTTTAATTGACATTTTACAGACATACGTTTTTGGATTCACGGATGACTCGATTACAAATTATCTTGATTGCTCGATATAATACAGTGCGATCAAAAAGTTTGTCTACCAAGCAAGCGTAGAAATTTAAAACGTATGTCTGTAGAAGATAAAATGACAAATAAGAAATGTCAAAATAATTTTTATGTAAATTATACCTAACAGGAAACTGTGGTGAACGATTTTTATAAATAAACAGCAACAAAATCTCATTTTAGGATATTTTGAGGCGTTTCATAGAATAATTCAATTTAATTAGCTCAATGTTTTAATTTTTTTTAAATAATTTTTTGACATCTAGATAACATACAAACTGCCATGCAACATACGTTCTCAACTAGGACGCCTACTTGATAGAAAGAATGTTTGATCGCACTGTATATTATTATAACAAAAAAGTAGCAAAAAATAATTTGAAATAAAAAATCTTGATCTTTTTGTGACAATATTAAAAAATGAAAAGAAAAACACTTACTTTGACTGTCTTTTATTTTTATTCTGTATTCTAATTTCGCACAACACCCAAACGTGCTTGTTTCTCATTTTAAGTCCTAAAAATTTCCATAGACATTTCTTCTCATGTTTTTTAATCTTGCACCCTTTGGCAACAAAACTGCATCCATATTTTTGGTTTTTACAAGGAATAAACAGTTTATCGTAGATTCTTTCAAGGATAAAACATCGGCGATTCATAAATTTCCCAGAACATAGAGGACAGTGCGGTTTGACTCTCTCGAAACAAGCAGGACATAAACTGTGGCCGTTTGTGCAAACTTGGATGGGTGGAGAAAGATACGATGGACAAATTGAGCATAATAACGACGAGAGCAATTCTTGATCAGACATTTGACATTTAAAAAATGTCATCACAAAAGGCCAACTAAAATAAAATTCTCTAAACGTTGAAATCAATCTTGTAACTTGTGATTGAAATAAGAAAGAAAATTAATAAACACATTTTGTAAAATCTACAGAGCCGAAATTGTAATTTACAGCCTATTAACGAAATTACTTAAGAAACAACAATTTTCTTAATGTAGTTTCGGAGAAAGGAAGACAATCCATTAGTTGATCTCGTCAATAAATTCATTTATTTTTATTTATCTGAAAGTAAAGTAATTATCTTAAGTAATAAACTGAAAATGCTGAAACGATTTCATTGTATCCCATCCCATCATTAAAGTCACTCGAATTAAACAACTGAAAAAACGATGAAAGCAATTATTCATACAAGAAATTAAATCAGCACAACAGATAACAAAATTAACAGTTGAAATGTTCATTACTAATCTCATGCATAATTTAAGAAGAAAACTCCAATTACATAATGATTAGCTTGAAAATGCCTGTTTTAGTATAAACGCGCCATCTGATGCATTGCGTCTGAACGTTGCTGTTCTTTTCAGCCAACAGAGATGGCGTAGTATTAAACTTAATTCAATTTTTCTAATAATTACAGTTATTCAACAAGATTCATTTTCATTTTTCAAATTCTCTACATTTTTATACATTGAAAAACGTAGCTTTTATATTTTGCAACTTTTAATGTCTTTCTATTTTAATAAATAGAAAGTGCTTATGTCTTTGGCGGAAGTTTCATGACCCTCCTCTTATTCACATTCCGCTTGCTTACCTTGAGTAAGGTAAAAGTTAAATGTTACAAGACATGACAACAAACCACTTTATTAATATATTTTCTTATCAAAAATGAGTGTTAAAAGTGTTTAATAATTTTCAAATATGTGAGTACTGAATTACCTATCTATTCAAAAGTAGAGCAAGTAGAAAGTTGGTTTCCATTTAATATTGTAGCCTAACTCACGAAAATGATGAAGAAAACACTGTTATTTGTTGCGGCTTTGAATGTAGTAAAATGCGAATATATTCCTCCGGGACCCCTCTACAGGTGCCCTAAAGAAATTCTGCTTTTGCACCCTTGCACCTGTGATAAGGAAAGTGATCAAGGAATTTTTATAAGTTGTAGCAACACAAATTTGGCTAGTATGAGTGTAGCTTTAAATAATTTAGCTACATTTAAACTACCTATTGAGAAACTTACAATAAACAAGTGTCATATAGGTAAAATATCAAAATCATCGATTCGAGTCATAATTAAATTTTAGCACGATTTTATGGAAGTCTTTTATACAAATTAAAATTGCGAACGTTGGTGGTTGAAGACACTCCAATTGAGACAATTGAAGAGCACACTTTTTTGGGTGTAAATGAAACTTTGAACGAGTTACATTTGATTAACAGCAGCCTAAAACAATTTCCAACTTTGGCTTTCAAGGTTCAGTTTAGTCACTTTCTCGCATGGGAAATGATTGATATTTTTAGATATTGGGTAATTTAACCGAGCTAAAAATAGACGGACATAACATGACGGATTTGCCAAAAGACGCCTTTGTTGGAAGCGACGTAAGCGGAAGACTTTTAAAGCTATTCTTATCTAATGGATATTTAACAACTCCGCCTATTGAAAGTTTACAACCGTTGAGGAAGCTGAAAATGTTGGATTTGCACGGGAATCGGATCACCGATCTGAAAAGGAACCAGTTCAAGGGGTTGAGAGATGTGGAAATCTTAGATTTGAGCCATAATGGTATCCGAAAAGTGGATGCAAGCCATCTCTCCGATTTGACAAAACTGACGTTCTTCAACGTGTCACATAATAATATTACAGAGCTGACGAGGTAGGTGTAAGGCTTAGAAAGATGAATAGGCGATAAAAGTCTAGGAGTGTAAAGCCGGAGAAGCTGAAACCTCATTTAATTTTCACAACGCCGATAAAATTATTTGCGCTTTTCAGAATGGCTCTATTTTTATCCATTGCCAGTGGTGAATTTAAATTGTGACGTACTCGTAAAAATTGGCTTTTTTCGTTTATATAGATAGACACAGGGCGACAAAAAAAGTCATGTCGTGACAACTTTGCAAATTAGGTATATATCATTTTGTTCGTCTCAGTGAGACAAATCGAATGCACAAAAAAAGTCCACACACTTTAAACTAAATATTTTTTTTCTAATTTAAATGAATTTAAAATACTTTAACTTTAAAAAATCATTACTCAATAACTGTTAGGCCGATTTCCTTTAAATAAAGACCATCCTAAAGGGATTGCCTTGTCCTTTAGAATGATATAAAATTTGAAATTGATTATTGGCAAACTTTTCTTCGAATAGTGTTCGAAGAAGTTCGAAGTAAATCGAAATATTCTAAGAAAAACCCTACGAGTAATTTTTTTTTCTTCATCACCATCCTGTAGAGCATCTTTTTATTAGTTGTAATCCAAATTTTCAAAAGAATATACCGAGTAGGTTTTAAGATATGATTTTTTGAAGTTAAGGTTTGCTATTCAAGCATTGCGCCATATAGAAATGCATGTTAATCTTACTTAAAATTGCATTTTTATAAAAGTATTTGTTTTAAGACTCTTCTTTTGCTTAAAAATGTTCAATTGCACCATTTTTGGTCTAATTAGAATAAACAAAAACTGCTTGTTTACTTAAAACAAATAAAGAATACCTGCGTACTAATTAGAGTTTTTTTGTTGTAGAAGTTTAAGGCACGAGCCTTAAATATAAGGGCAAATTTTTTTCAAATCAAATCACTTTCCATTCAGATTTCGACTTCACTTTGTTCTAGCTTTCTGAACTTTTTTTAAAAATGTTCTGAGCAAATGTTTTCTCATCACTTTCGAGTGATGTTAAATGCAATAAGTCACCTGATTTATTTTGTTGGTACATTCTAGGATTAGCTTCAGTTAGCTTGTAGGTAGTAGTTCTTGTGATAACAGTTGCACACGAAGCAACTGACTTATTGCATTCAACATCAGTAGAAAGTGACGAGAAAGCATTTGCTGAAAACATTTAAAAAAAAAGTACAGAAAGTTAGAACAAAGTGAACAAGTTGGAATCTGAATGGAAAGTCATTTAATTTGTAAAAGAGTTGTTCTTATATTTAAAGCTACTGCTTTAAACTTCTAGATCCTTTTTGCCCAATGATCAGTGATCATTTTTAGAATAAAAAAAACTTTTTATTTGCTTTAATTAGTACGCAGGTACTCTTTGTTTGTTTTAAGTAAAGAAACAGTTTTTTGTTTATTCTAATTAGAACAAAGAAGGTGCAATTGACCATTTTTAGGCAAAAGAAGAGTCGTAAAACAAATACTTTTATAAAAATGCAATTTTAAGTAAGGTTAACATGCATTTCTATATGGCGCAGTACCTGAATAGCAAACCTTAACTTCAAAAAATCATATCTTAAAAATTACTCGGTATATTATTTTAAAAATTTGGATTTTTACTAATAAAAAGATGCTCTACACAATGGTGATGAAGAAAAAAAATACTCGTAGGTTTTTTTCTTAGATTACGATTTATTTCGAACTTTTTCGAACACTGTTCGAAGAAAAGTTTGCCAATATTCAATTTCAAATTTTATATCATTCTAAAGGGCAAGTCCATCCCTTTAGAATGGTCTTTATTTGAAGGAAATCGGCCTAATAGTTATTGAGTAATGATTTTTTTAAATTAAAGTATTTTAAATTCATTTAAATTAGAAAAAAAATATTTAGTTCAAAGTGTGTGGCCTTTTTGAATTTTTTTTTAGTGCATTTGATTTGTCTCACTGAGACGAACAAAATGATATCAAATTTGTCAAGTTGTCACGACATGATTTTTTTGTCGCCCTGTGTAATCGGATTTTTTTAGTGTTTTTTTTTGTAAATATAAGTTTTTTACTTTTTGTCCAGCATTCTACTTTTCTGAAATAAAGTCATAGAGTATAATTGACACATATTTCAGAGGCGCATTTGCCAGAAACACTATTCTGCGAGTCCTCAACATGTCTTTTAATAAGATCAAGCGACTCGACTCGAACACCTTCCGAGGAATGCGTTTCTTGCGTCGTCTCTACCTCTCCAGCAATTTAATCACGGACGTCGACAGAGGCACTTTTGGATCTCTAGCCCAAGTTGGAACCATTGATTTATCCCGGAATTTCCTCAAGAAAATTGATTACCAAATGTTCTTCGAATTAAAATTCATTGACGTAAGCACTACCCACTCACAGTTCACCACCCCTAAACCTTCACTTCCAGACAATAGACGTCAGCGAGAATAACGTGACCGAAATTCAAAAAATGGCATTCAAGGACATTTATTTGACTAGTATTAATTTATCTAAAAATAACATTAGTAAAATCGAGGGTGGAGCCTTCCAGAATTGCGCCAACATCACAAAGTTGGATCTATCACACAATCGACTGGAAATAATCCCGAAGAAAGCTTTTGATGAAACGACTTATGCACTTGAATTGCAACTATCGTATAACTTTTTGACTGTTTTAAATCAAATTCCTTTGCATAACATGACCGGCTTGAAGATCCTCAATGTCTCGCATAATGTAATTACAAAGATTCCTAAAGGAACTTTTCCTAAGTTGTACGAGTTGCACACGATCGACTTGTCCTATAATAATCTGACAGACATTTTCAATTCAGTTTTTCAAACTTTATTTTCTTTGAGAACGCTGGATTTGAGCCACAATAGCCTCGAGACAATTAAACCGAGCACTTTTGGGGCCCTTCCGACTCTCTTAGAGTTAAACATGAGTTACAATTTTTTAAAAGATATAGCAAGGAGTGCTTTAACTCGTCTTGCTAGTACTCGAAAATTGGATCTCAGTCACAACAAACTCAAAAAACTTTTCCTCCTACCCATTTCAGTGTCTCACCTTGACTTATCTTTCAACGAATTTGAAGAACTTCCACCTAAACTTTGGCCCAGTATGAATTCTCTTTTAAGTCTTGACATGAGTCACAACAATCTTGGGAATGATTTAGTCGAGGGAAGTTTTACAAATTTGCTAACTTTGCAAAAATTGAACTTGAATTATAACGGAATTTCAACTCCTCCATGGGCTGCCATTAACGAGCTCAGTTCATTACAGTATTTGTATTTTGAGGTAAATACATACAGTTTAGAGTTAATTTGAGTTTAGTTTTCGTTGTTGTAGGGTAATAATTTAACAAAGTTGAACCGAGCTGCTTTTGGAAAATTGCCTGTTGTTTTCGAACTCAATTTGGCTCATAATAAGATTAGTAACATTACTGATAGAGCCTTTGAGGGACTTTTGCAACTAATTGTGTTAAATATGACCAATAATAGCATAAGTGACATTCCGAATGGCGCTCTTCAAGGTAAAAAACTCAAAACTTTTTGTTTAGAATAGGTAGATTTAATTAAAATTTCACAAATATGAAAATCCTCGCTTGCACACAAAGCCAGAGTTATGTTATCTCCACTTTGTTTTTCCGTCTGGATGAATCATTTGTTGTTTCAGGATTGGTAGCCTTGCGAAGCTTGGATCTTTCGCACAATAAAATCGAGAAGTTAGATAACAAAACGCACAGTTTATTTGATGACTGCTTATCTCTGGAGCAAGTAAGTGAAATTTTCCGCCACAAGCGTGGCCCTTTTCAACCATTTCCTTCCAGTTAAATTTGAGCCACAACAAAATTGGCTTTATAACGCGAAAAACTTTCCCGAGCAATCCTTACGTACCTTATAAATTGAAAGAAATCGATCTTTCGTACAACTCGATGCCTGTTGTTACTTATGATCTAGTTTTCGGAACGTCCAAAGTGCAGAAACTCAACTTGTCGCATAATTTAATTTCGGACGTGAGGAAAGGTGAAGGGTTAATTGAAGTTGTGGCGAGTTAATAAATTGGCGTTCTAGGTGTTATTGGAAATTTGACTAATTTAGTTTCGTTAGACTTATCCTTTAACAGAATTGAGGATATTGCAAGTGATGGTGCAGTTTTTAATTTACCAAAAAGTGTAACTGAAGTGAGGTTGTCTAATAATGTCTTGCACGATCTACCTTGGAAGCACCTCAAAAATGTTACTAGGTTGGACGTACTGGATATTAGAGATAACTTTTTTGAGAGTTTTGGACCCGACTTGACTGATATGGTCCTCAAAGGCACCCATGTTTATTTTGAAGGTAAACAACAATTTTTATTGTTAAATTATCCAAATAACGTGTTATATTTTCTAGGAAATCCGTTAAATTGTGATTGCTTTGTACGCCCTTTGAAGCGCTACTTCTCTTCTCAACTATTCCTGCGCCCCTTTTACAAGTTTATTAAGTGTTCGGGTCCTCCTTACCTGTCAGGACACACATTATTTGAGCTTCCCGATGACAGGCTAAATTGCCCTACTAATGTTAATACTTCAAGGATAATGGAGACGCATCCCGGAGAATATGATATAATGCCCGATCTGCGGTTCCGGGAGCTCAGCCTGTAATAATAATTAGCTTGTTGATACAGCTTTATCTCAAAATGTAAATTTTTAGAAAGAAGAACAAACTGACGGTGAAATGGAGAGTGGTAAAGAACGACGATATAGCCGATCCTTACGTTGTCGTCAGGAACATAAAGGATCCTGGGAGCGTCGTCTATGAAGCAACTTTGCCGTATTTTAAAAGAAGTTTAGAGATCGACGATGCTAACCTGACTCGCCCGAAGGGGAACGATACTGAATATCAAATATGTTTGCTTGCGAGGGACAGCAAAACTTTTATACGTGGCTTCCACAAAGAACAATGCAGGGAGTTGCCGAGAAACAGCGGGGTGGCCTGGGGAGCGAATCTTTTGATACTTGCGATGGGAGTTGTGTTTATAAATAGACTGTGAAATTGTAGAAAGCTTGTAAATATTGTTGAAATAAAAAGTTGTTTTACCAGAAATCGTAATGTTTTATACTATACAGCGTAATTCAAAAGGAGCGCACAATCACTCGGGTGGTTTTTAAATTCATCAAATTACTCTCTAAATTGCAAAGAAAAATGTTAAACCAACATTCTATTGGTAGAACTAATTTTTTAATATCAACCAGAGAGTGACCCAGGAGTGAGTGCAAGTTCTATAACCTTTTTATCTATGCAAGCTATCGACTTAATTTTTTTAAAGGTCCGATAATGAATTTCAAAAATATTTTTATTTAATACAGAATGTCCCAAAGTATAAGTTCAAAGCTCATTTACTAGAAGACTAGCAGATTTTGTAGAACATGATAGTGACTTATTTGGGCATATTCTACAGGCTGTTCTGTTTTTATTGTTACAAATTTAAGTAGGTGATAGAATATTCAATTTTAAGATAAAAGTTTCCTATGAACATGTATTGAAGAATACTATGTAAGGGAGAGCTACACTCTCTGAAAGAAGTGCATGTTTTAATGGATTTTGTCCAATTTTCATATTTGAGTAAAATCTTTTTAATATTCATGTTACACTTGTTTTGTTGTGGTTTTTATCGAAAAAAATGGTTAAATTTAGTCAAAAATCATACTATTTTTGCTTTTTTGAACGTTTTAGCATGTTTTTAAGACAAAAACTCGAAAAATCGAAAAATGCACAGAAACCATTGTAGATAAAATAGAAAATTTTAGTACAGCTGATCACCTTTTTACACCCAAACGAATTCGAAGATTCGAAGAAATTTTTACTCAGGAGAGTCCTAAACTGGGGGGTTTAGGGTAAAAAGTACCCTAATATTTTGGCTGTTGGTTCCTGCTACTTTCAGCTACACAATTCTAAATTTTATAGTTTTTCTTTAGTTTTTTGAGTAAAATCAGTTTATAATGTGTGTTACAGACCATAAAAAAAATGAAGCACTCGTTCCTTCGTCGCTCGTGTCTCAAATAATGTCCTCATGCGCGAATAATGTCTTGCACTTGGTTCGTAAATAACTATTTTATTACTACTTTTGATTTTTTTGTATTGTTTAAAAATTTAGATTAATTATTTTCAATCAAATTTAGTATGGTTGCAATTTTTTCTGTTGTCTTCCTTCGAAGAACAAATTCATTGAAACACATATTGATCAATGTGTTAGGAATGGGTAACATTTACTTTTGTGATGAATTTTAATAAACTTAGTTAAATCATCTAAATTTCCTACTGTTAATGAAGTTTGTTTCTTACTCCTTTACTAAAACGTTAACGTTATAATTATGTGAGTTGCATACAACGAAAGTCACGACTAGGCACTTTTTCTTTGATAGTTTTGTGATGACCTAAAAGGCCATACCCTGCCCGCCAAAAGTGAATACCTGAGCGCCAAATTCAAATGAAAACAAAATGGCCGAAAAATCGTGATCGTCATCGAAGTGGTTAGGAACCTACGTTGTGTTTGTCAAAAATTGGCGGGCAAATTGTTCGAATGCGCATGCGTGAGATTCAAAATGGAAAGGGCACGAATAAAACTCAAATTGGAAGGAAAGCATTTATTGTTTATTTCCTGCAGTCATGTAAAACAATCGAGAAAATCAAAA